CCCTTCAGACCAGAACTACGGAGCCATGCAACGCTAGCGTCTTTGTCTACGCCTGGTCTACTAAGGTTTCTGTAGAACTGGCCATGTAATGGTTTATTTTTCAACATTTCCATTCTGCGCTTAGCAATGCTGACCTTGATTTGGACCTTTGTGTTCGACGTCCTAGAGTTGTCACTTTGGTAGTTTGATTTTATACTCGCTGCTTCTCTCAAGAGAGTATTTACGTTTCTGGGCATCGTGGATTTTTAACATTTTCGTATATTTGTCTTTCTCCGAGCTCAGGTATTCATGCAGGTCGAGAATGGCTAGATCATATGCATATTCTAACTCTATTAAACCTCGTCCGCCATCACTCCGTGCGATGTATAGACGCTGAACGTCGGCTTTGGGATGATGCATACCTTCACAAGTTAGTAGTTTTTTATTATTATTATTATTATTATAATTATAATTATTATTATTTTTATTATTATTATTACGATAATTATTATTACTATTATTATTATTATTATTTTATACTATTTTACTCCTCTGTCGAAGGTATTAATATTTCCCTCAGGGCGGTTAGCCAAAGTAAGGAAATAGATCTGCAGCGGTCTTTTCACCGTATCCGGTTCTCATCTCCTAAAACCCTACGTACTGTCCTACATGTTCCCAGCAGTGCAGCTTTTTGCAGTTGCAAGTATATTTTTGGATGGAGCTGTAGCTTTTCCAGACTCTTGTGTAGTTTCCTTGGTAATCTCTCCAGTAGCTCCTATTATAACTGGTATTAGAGACACATTGCCCATTTCCCACATGCGTTGATTTCGTCGGAGAGTGGCAAATACTTATTGGTTTTTCCGCATGGGTGGTTTGGATATTAGTAGGAAGAGGCACAGCTATGTCTATTATAACGTCGTTCTTTCTTCTTTCAGTGTGAGCACTATGTCAGGAATATTGGTTGGGGATGGGCCTGTCAGTTATGATTTTACGGTTCCAGTACAGCCTAGAGGTCTCCGTTCTATCACAGGTGGCGGCGTGTATTTATAGTAGGGCTGTGTACCAGTTTCTCCTAGATGCTTTTTAGCCAAAGCTTGATAAGTATTTTGGCCACATCATTGTGCCTTTCAAGATATTGTTTAGGAGCTAAGGGAGAGCAGCCTGCTACAATATGATCTATGTGCTCATCTTTTTCCCCACATATGCGGCATCTGATATCGTCAACGTTCTCATGCATTATAACGCTTTCGGTACAACTTTGTTGGGACTACCTGATCCTGGATGGAGGCTATGAAGCCCTCCGTCTCCAGGAACAGATTACCTGACGGCAACCATCCTTGGGAAGCCTTCGTATCAATGGCGTGTCCTTCTATGCGGCTCCTATACACCGACCATGTAGTGGTTTGGCTTTCCATTGGCGAACCAGATCCTGCATTGGGTTATCTTTGCCTCAGGGTCGAAAGAATTTTTCTGAAAGGTTTAGTGGTGTCACTTTTTTATCCGGCTGTGTTATTGCTTGATGCATTCTGCTGGATGTGGCTTTTTGGAAGAAGTACTGGCGTAGATTTCCACTTGGCGGTGATGTAGTGTAGGTTATGCAAGGTATTCCTCTGCCACCCTCACTTCGTGGTAGATGGAACCGCTCTATGGAACTATGTGGGTGGTGTCCCCAGTGTTTACGGAATTCTTTTCTGGTTTCCACATTAAGTGCGTTCAGTTTCTGTATCCGTCCAGTTTCAGTATGCCAAACGTATAGTAAGGACCGAAGTAGCGTAGGTGCTGACAGCAAGTGCTGTATTACGAGCTGACAGACTTGTTTTCAAGCACCGCCCTCAAACGTGTTCTATAGTGCTCCATTGCCTTTTCTTTTGCAGCTTTCTGGTCTATGCCCGGCGCTTGTAGATAGCCTAAGTATTATACTGTTCATCTTGCTGCATTCCTTCAATTTTCCCTTGCACTTGGTTCGGCTCATATCCTGAATGTTTACTCCATTGGCCTTTTACCATGCAACTGATCTTGCACTTGTCTAAGCAAACAGCATCTTGATGTCAGTGCTGATTTACTTACACAGTCCAGAAGCTTATGAAGATGTTCTTTGGTTTCTGCAAAAAGTTTGAGGTCATCCATGTACCAAAGATGTGAAATGCGTCTTTCATTGCCACCTAACAGTATTCCTTCTTTTGGCTATTTAGCATTGGTTGTTAAACGGTCTAAGCGCTAAGCAGAACCATAGCGGACTTAAAGAGTCTCCTTGAAATATTCCTCTCTTGATGGATACCTCTCCGGCACTAAATTGCGTATCTTGGGTGTTGAGATAGAGCCGTGTCTTCCAATTCGCCATAGCATGTGCCAGAAATTTTTGATGTGGCACTCGATCCCATAAAGGTCAAGCACCTCTAACAGCCAAGAGTGAGGTATACTGTCTGATAATCGATGTATGCAATGTAATGTTTTTTCTTTTTGGCATAATTAGTTATGACAGAGTCTATAACAAGTTGCTCTTTACAGCCCTCGAGACCCTTTCTTCGGCAACCTTTTGCTCGTCGTCTAGTATAGTATTCCGCGTCTAGGTGTGAATATATCTTTTCAGTAATTATAGCAGTCAATACCTTGTAAATAGTCGGCAGACAGGTGATTGGTCGGTAATTTTGCCGGATCGTTCGAGTGATCGCCGCACTTTGGGATTAAATATGTTATTCCCATTGTTAAGACTCTGGCGACATATCTGGTTCTCTAAGATTGAGGTGTAACACTTTGCGAGTCGATCGTGAGCCGAAGTGAACGTTTTTAGCCAATAATTCTGAAGCTTATCTTATCCTGGGCTTTCCAGTTTGGTAATTTTCGTAGAGTATTTACCACGTCATCTAAGCTTACTTTCCAGTCGAGCATGGTCCTAAAAGTTGAATTATTTGCTTTCTCTTGGCGGTACCATTTAGATGTGGAATGATTGATTGGATTGCTCCAAATTCCTGACCAGAAGGTATTGATGGCATCTGAGGTAGGAATCTGAACGTTGTTCTGATCTGTATCCCTCCGTCGCGCCTGCAAGTTCCTGTAAAAGCCTCGCTGATTGGTCTCGAATGCTCGATTTTGTTTCCGGCGTTCGTTGCTTTTCTTGTACCTTCGAAGTCGCAGTGCTGTAGCTGCTAGTTTTTGCTTCAGGTAGTCCAAGACTTCTACGGCTGTTGGGTTCTCCTCCGAGCAGTGACGGTTTATCACATTCTCTGCGGATCTCTTTACTCTCAGACTACATCAGACCTGCGGTACTGGGTGAGTATTGCTATGTCCTTTCTAATCTCCTCTATATAGCGCTGCGATCTCTCATCTCCCAGGCTGGCAGTTTTCTGTTTTTCCTTACACATTGTTCGCCAACTCTCTGTTCATTTAATTTTAGGACTGTAAGTGCTCCAATGTACAACAGGCTATGGAGCTCAGTCAAGGTTGTATCTTCTGTAATCTCGTTATCTATTACTTTGTTAACTTCAGCGATATACTCAGATGTATGGGGTTTATTATTAGCTTTGGTAGGCTTGGTTTAAGAGTTGGTTCCACACCATCATACTTCATGAACAAGCCCCTGAACTCATCTGCGTATTTAGAGGGTTGGCCATCGTTTATCTCAATTTGTTCTTGGTTTTCTGTGTGCTCTTGCGGAGCTTGTACCTGCATTCCTAATTCTATGGATATCTCTTCTTATTTTGTTTATCTCCTCTGCCGGCAATCTGTTGTTTATGAATACGGATCGGCGCTGGTCTAGTACGTTTTGCACAGTTTTGCCTTGCAGGTGAGGGAAGTTCATGATAACTTGTTTGTGTAGTTCAGTACCATAGGGCTCTGTAGATGTTTCTAGTTTAGTTATTCTGTAGTAGGAGCGAACCACAAATCTGTTCATTTCAGTGGTCCACGTGGTTCTTTTTCTCCTCCTATTGTCTGGCATTATGGGCTGGGGCTCTTGGCTTCCAGCAACATGATTGCCATCTTCGACCCCAGGAAGCTGTTGGATGGGGTCATTCGAGTTACTTCTCACACTATCTGTGGGGGGCTTTCGCTGGATGACGACCGGGTGCGACCTTCCCCTACGCTCCCTGCCGGACGCGGACCTCGTCGCATAGCGTCGAGTCCCGATTACGTCGTTACATTCCGAGGCTTCATTTTGTTTTTTCTCCATTTCTGGGTAATTGTGTTCTCTTTTGATAGGTAGGTATAATTGTTTACCTAAAAGTGTTTAAACTCAGGCGTGGAAGAGAGACAAAAACCACGCCTGGATGAACAGGAGGTGTGCTGGCCGTACTGACTTTCCTTCGGTGTTAATAACAGTAGCTCAACCACTTGGTCGAGGCCAGACGTTGCGTTGCTGGCTGTACCGTCTACGTCGTTTACGGTAGCGGGTTGAA